TCTCTAGCATCCTTCGCTTATGGTTTACCTACAAAGCAATCAATAATGAAAGGGTGAGCGTTAATCGCTCAGTAAGGAATGATCCATTGCATTCTAAATGTGCTATTTGACCCTTATTTAAACATATTTGTTAACACACCACTTATCTTGTACATCTAGGGATACTTTCCCTTTTTTTTTTTCCTTTCTATTTCATATGTCTTTCATGATTTTATCCTATGGCTATATAAACATCAATGCATGCACATACAAATAAGTATGTAAACATAGTACACACACATTATATGTCATGATATAACATATAAATATCATCTAACATGAGTACAAATCATCTCATGATGTAAATAACATCATAACTCATGTAGTGCAACTAAATGCATATGAAGCATTTAACATGTAGCCGATCGGACTTTTCTTAGCATCTTAAGCACTTCATATCATCTAGCCTCAAATTCATCTAGAGCTCATATCATCGGGAGGCGTGCTTACACGTTATTTAACATCTAAAGCATATATTCATCTTTCCTCAACTGGTATATAAGGAGATGCTTACGCGTTTCCCATCATGACTATATGCATCTCTATCATGTCTATATGGATCTCTAACATCTTACGGCATGTAAATAAATATTTTGGTGAGCTTAATACTTTTAATTGATCTATGGATTATCAATCCATTTACATTACCTCTTCCTCACATACATCATCTTAAAACATGTATTACATTGCATCTTCATGCCATTTCATAACATTAATCATGCATTGACATCATGACCATGTATATGTTTCAAAGATCATCTAACTAATGGGTAAACATTAGTACATGGCATAATTACAATATTACATTAATAATCAATTCATAATCATAAGAATTGATCATGTTTAATATTAAACTTTAATAACCAGAAGTTTATACTTCAGGCCATTTTCCATCCATTTCTCAAACGAATTGGCTCTTGGAATAAACATAAAAGTTATAGGTCTATGTCTTAAATTTCTAATGCTTGAAGAATCATCTCATTTTGATTTTTATAACTCAAGTTATGGTCGAACTACTGAAGCATGTTTAACATAACCCCTAAGCTTACCAAATCCAAATTTTTCATATTAAGTATGCCACATCAATTCCTACTGACAATTAACCAATAGGTCAACTTATGGATCAAATAAATCTCCCTTTAATAGTCTTTAACATCTTAAAGGAAGTGTAAAATCTCATTCCCATAATCATCCATTATTGTTATAACATTGTAAGCTAATGAAAACAACAAATCAACACTTCTAATAGCAACCATTCAACACCATGTGGCCTCCAATACTACAAGTTTTGCCACAATCAGCATCCACACTTCATTTTCTTCAATCAAAGATAACAACTCATAAAACATAAATAGCAATAACTTCATGTATAATGAATTCGAGGCAATAAGTAGAATAAATGAGTTCAACGACACTTGCCATCAACTAATTCTATGCCTTAAAGCCTTAATTTAAGGTTTCATAAAAATCTACAAACCCTAGCATAATCCCTAAAGTCATGAGAGGTTCTTCCTTACTTTTTTAAAAGAATTTCTCCAATAAATCCTTTGCCTTTGTCTTCTGTTACACCTTAATCCTACATATATAACATTATACCTCAACATCTACTTCAAATCTTCAAATCACATCAAAACTAGGGTTTCTAATCCTTACCTTAAACCCTTCAACTTGAAGATCCAAAGCTCCTATCTTGTTCTCCTTGAAAAATTATGCAAAACTCCTTTAAAACTTAGAGAAAGAAGGCTTATTTTATGGAAGATTTGAGAGAAAATGGAAGAAATGTTAAAGAAATACTCTCTCCCTTGGCTTGAACGAATTTCATCTCATTTATAGGAAAATATTTCATTTATTTTCCAAAATTATACTATTGGCCCAATTATTTTAATTGTATAACTCATAAATCCTTAATTCTTCATATAAGGGCATTTTGGTCATTTCACAGTAAACATAATTATTACTTAATTAATGCCATTAAATGCAATTAAGCATACTAATACTTGAATTTTTCAATGCTTATCCATAGGCAAAATGACTATTTTGCCCCTAATGCCTTTCTATGGATAATTGATTCATACCATTCCAAATGAATCGACTATTTTGCCCTTAGTTAGATTTTATGCTTTTTAACATAAAATTAACATCTAAAGGACTATTTTGAGTTAGGAACATACATTTGACATCTTCGATATTAGCCAAGATAGGGATGACCTCATTCTAAGCCTACATTGTAAAAAAACAGTCCATATCATAATTAAAACACATATAATACAAAAAATATAACAAAAAGCCCATAATATTTACCTGCATTGCCTATGGGAAGCCAAACAAATTGTACGTGCTCGGTCTATTCTTCTCGACAGATTGTGACTGCTTTAACGCCATATTTTTTCCTTGCAGGGAGTCCATGGTTAGTGTAAATGATACTCGTTCCCATGGATAAGCATTAAAGAAGTCCATGTTGCTTGCAAACTTCACCCAATCCATATTAACGACTTTTGTTAAGTCAAAAGCCATTAGGATCGAATGCACGAACCATACCAAGCACATTTTAAACCTCTCTGAAGAGGTATACCCACCTTCTTCTAACCTCTCCTATAAATCGTGTCCCGTAATAGACGTTTTCCCCCCAAAAAACCTTTCTAGTGAAGTTTTCGGTTGCCTTACTGTTCTTTATTCTCTCTTGCTCTGTCGCATCTGGTAATTTCCCACATCTTAAGCATGTCATCAAGGCATTTCCATCATCCCAACACATAGCGGCTTTCCATCCACCATGAACCACATTTCTTTTTTTTGCTTTTAACTGAGTTTAGTAACATATAATGCACTCCCTGTCCTCAGAACGCATTTTTCCAATTTTCTCCAATGTTCATAAAATGACATAAACAACTCTTTTTGAATCGGTTTAAATCTTTTTTTTTTTTTTTTTTGTTCCCGTAAAATATCTATTATTCTCATAAAAACTTGTCAACTCAACCTAACTGTCACCCGTACAGGGAAGTACAGTACCTTATCTCTTACAACCTCTAACCTATAGTCTTTATAGTTCACGCTTCGGCAAATCTGCACAATCGATATAAACTAAATATCAACTAAAAAAAGAAACTAAAACAATTAATAGGCTGCCAACATACTTTGTATACAAAGAAAAAGTATTATACAATGAACTTTTCAACTAATCTTTTCAAGTGTATGACAAACAAAAAAGGAGCATCATACAATGTAAATGAACATAAAAACCATACTACACAGCTCATTACTAATCCTGCCATCACAACAATTAACAACTCAAAACACATCTATAACATCACTAAACTAAAACTCAACCAAAGCATCAATTGAAAAGCAAGCATGCAAACTCAGTCTTCCACTAAATAATATTACCTCTAACAAGATTACAAGAGAATGTAGTGGGCTGATGAGCCCAGCATCACATAAACAATTCAGAAAGCTTTTAAGTGATGTTATTCAAATTCCGGTGAAACTCTTTTTAAGCCCTATATTATTAAATAAAATTTACTTACAAATTTACTTTTTAAATGTTTTTCTAATCTTTTTTTTTTTCACCAAACCTAACCAAAGCTTAAACCCTTTGTATAAATGATGGGAAAAGGAGAATAATTATTTTCTTCTGAGTCCAAAATTAAAGAAAGGCTTTTTGTGGTTTCATTGATTCTGTTTGATTTAGAAATTATGGTATAAAGTCGAGTGGTGATGGTGAGCCAACCTAAAAGTAGTGACATTCTTCTAATAATAAGTTGCCTAATCGTATAATGAGATTTAATATTTGTCCTTCAATCATGTAATGTTTTGACATTCAATCAAAATATAACAAAGAAAGTAATTTGCCCATTGTATAATAAAGCAACGAAAAATCTAATAAATCATAGCCAACCCTGCAATTTAACACTTCTAACACAACAATCATAGCCAGCCTTACAAACAATCATGCAACCCCTACAGCCCTAGAGTAGGGCTTGTATGATTGTTTGGTAAAATCATAGCCAACAATCATGCAAGCCCATATTGGCAAGGCTAGCCTCGCATAGCGCACGCAGGGGAGGAGGTAGCCAAATTTGGCGGGCTGGAGGGCTGCCCTGCATATTGGCAAGGCTGGCCATGCATAGAGCACGCAGCGTTGCGTGCTCTATGCATGGCCAGCCTTGCCAATATGCAGGGCAGCCCTCCAGCCCGCCAAATTTGGTTACCTCCTGCCATCTCCAGCCCACAAAACTCCCTATGACCTCCCTTGCCTTCCCCTATCCTCTGGAACCTAAACAAAGCCACTCCACCAATGCCCGCCAACAGCTCGACAAAACGCCACAACCACCATAACAATAAAACCAACTACATCTCCCCCAAATTCGTACAAATCAATCCATTTTCTCATCCAATTAAAAAAAAAAAAAAACAAGTAAAAAACATATCATTTCTTCACTGGCGTCCTCCTCTTCAGAACCATTTTCCGATTCTTCTCTCTATCTTGTGCCGCCATCGTCTCCTCTGTTTGTGGACCACCTTCACTCATTGGATGATCCACCAGAGCGTCATCTTCGACAGCCTTTGAATTGCTGGCACCGCCGGAGTCTAGGATTCAAAGTGTAGGTTTTCTTCTTCTTTGTGAATGTCAGTCATGGTTTTGTGTAAGGAAGGTTTAGGATTGAAAATTTGCCAAAATTTAGGCACTGTAGTCACCGAAAATCACAGAGAAATGAATAGCGTTCATTGGTCTTTTTTTGGATATATGACTCGATTAAGCGATTTTGAAGGGTGGAGACTCATTTTCAAATTTCAAATTTTAACAACTTTCGTTAATTATGATTTTATCCATATATATTTAAATCTTTTTAGTTTAACCCATTTTACATGTTTAATGAATCCTAAATTTGCCATGTCAGCTTTTAAATTAAAAAAATTAAAAAAAAAATTTCAGGGTCATTTTATTAAACGCAAACTTGGGATGTCCCGGAGTAAAATTTCTTCCTGTTATCTTTAGTTGACTTGAAAACGTCCACGGGACACCAGTAACGACCAGAAAGGAGGAGTCCATGGCCGCGAGAATGTCGAAGAACAAACAGGGCGGTTTCAACCAGCTGAAGTGGTTCCTCCACTCACCGACAACTCGGTCGCTTAAAACCTTAGCCTACGAAGAGGTCCGATCTTCAACAGACAAACACTACACTTCCACAGCTTTCATTCTCCATGGCCTCCTTGGATCGGGTCGTAACTGGCGCTCCTTCTCTCGTAACCTCGCCGCCACTCTCTCCACCACTTCTCCTTCATCCGGTACTACATTTACACAAACTTACAGTCGCTTTTTAATTATTAATCATCTTTTAGGAAGTTTCTAGATATATAACATCAAATTTTGTGATATAATTACGCAATTTACGCTAGAGTTGTAACATGATATGATAGTGAAGTTAATTATGATATGTGTCAATTACGTTAATTCTCCTCCATCCGGTACCACATTTACACAAACTTCCAATTACTTTTTAATTATTAATTATTTGTAGGAAGTCTGTTAGTTATGATATGTGAAGAATATGAAAAATTTTAGGAAGTAGAGAAACTTTCTGACGGTTAATGTTGATTAATTTTTAGTTTTAGGAAGTTTCTAGTTGTATAATATCAAATTTTGTGATGTAATTGTGAAAGACTTGTAACATGATAAATTGTATTATATAACATTGCTCTTATTGTTGATAATTATTTGTTGTTTGTGTGAGTAGAGTGGAGAATGGTGCTGGTGGACTTGAGGAACCACGGGCAGTCAGTGGACATAGAGGGACTGGCTCCGCCGCATAACATGGCTAATGCTGCTAATGATTTGGCTAATTTGGTCAAAGCGAAAGGTTGGGTTTGGCCTGATGTTGTAATTGGCCATTCCTTAGGTGGTAAGGTCGCCTTGCACTTCACCCAGAGTTGTGCTCGTGGTGAATATGGTCAATCCGCTGCATTGCCCAAACAGGTTTATATTTTGCCCAAACAAAAGCTTGTTTTTGACAATGCTTGTGATTGCTAGACATTAATTGTATTATTGTGCATTCTAATCGTACCTAAATAAATCATTGGTAGTGGTTAGTGTTAAGATTTATGGAGGAGTTCCAATATGAATGTCAAAGAATTTCATCTATAAAATTTCAATGTATTACAGTTCCTTGATACTTCCACTGTGGTTGTTGGCCTATGCTGATTAGGTCTCGTTGGTGTTAATAGACAGATATCTGTTGTCAAATGTCTAACAACCTCTTCTTAGTATAGCTACAGGAGTTTGCAGTTGTGAAAGGTGGATGGACAAGGAAATGACTTTTTGTTTTCCATTGCAATATGAATCTTAGTTTCAAGTGTATGTCTTGAAATGCAGTCATTGTGATAAATTGTTGAAGGAGATAAAAAAAAAGGAAGATACATTCTACTTACAATTGGACATAAATTGATTTGGCTTTTTATTGGTTCTTAAAGAAAACCTATATCATGAGAACTGTGACAATTTCTGTAGTTTGTTTTGCATTCAATCAGTCGCATTCTATTTGAATGAAGTAATGTCACAAATGTGTGTTACAACTTGTTGGTTTCCCATGTCAAAACATCTTACTCTGTCACCTTCTCAGCCCTACTCTCTCTCTCTCTCTCTCTCCATGCATATTTTCTGTGCATGATTTTTTTTTTTTTTCTTTTAGCAAATCTGGCATTCTGAAAGAGTGAAGAAGATAGAATGTAATGCAATCCTACACATCCCAAATGAAAACCTAAATTTCTCATCCCAAGGGATGTATTTGCAAATGTATCATCATTCATTAACTTAATATGAGTGTCAAGAAAATAATTTATGTGTGCTTTCTTGATTTCAGGTGGGGATGTTGCAACCTCCTTATGAGGTGTGGTTGGTTTAGTGATAAAATAATAGTTTGCCAGATTATACACATCCATTAATTCATTATACATATATATAAAACTTATATGTGACCTCTACTCTTGTGGCCGGATGGTAAGCCCTTTAATCACTAGAGTTAGTTATATCCAAGAGTCTTGTGTTCAAGTCGCAGGAGAGACATCTACCACATTTGTGCAATTACGTTGGTCTATTAGGCTTGTAGGGTGTTCTGTGGCCCTAAGAATTAGGTGGGCTCAACTGGCGATTGTGCCTGGATACCTCAGTTATTTAAAAAAAAAAAAAAAAAAAAAAAAAAAAAAAAAAACTTATTCATGCTATTAGGGCATGTTTCAGTTCAATGTTTATGCAAGAATAGATACAAAACTTGCTGCTTGGGTAGGGATTAATTTTATCAAAAAAACTTCCAATTCATCTATTGAAAGTTGATGTGTCATACTCATTCTGTGCGCGACACACTGAAACATAAACATGGCCACCCACACCTAATGCACTAATAATTGAGTTTGATTTAAGTCTTTGTTGCATTTGACTATTACCGTCAGACATCACATTCCAAATAGAAATGAAATCTTAGATATGGATGAACGTTGCACGACTCAGAAAAATATAGAGTGAACTTGTCACATGGGCTTTGATATTCTTTTGTGGTTTCAAATGTCAAGAGGGTCATCCATTACTGATAGCGTGTTGAAAAACTTAAAAGTTTCCTTGTTTGGTGATTTGACCACTATAGTTTATTAGAACATGAGAAGAGTTCTGAGCATTTTCATTTTCTTTTCTGATGCAGAGCAGCTGTGGGTATTGGATTCTGTTCCTGGAGAAGTGAAGTCTGAAAACAGTGATGGTGAAGTAGAGAAAGTTCTGCAGACCTTGCAAAGTTTACCTTCACAAGTCCCATCTCGAAAGTAAAGATTTTATCAGTTTAGTGACATGTTATTCTTTGCTTAGTGGATTTACTGTGTGTTAGTGAGCCTGTAATTTCCTTGGTAGAGTGATCCATATGCAGGTGGAGTTGTGATATGGCATAATGTTCACATTAACTACATAATCTTCTTTTTCACAAAGCATTTTCCTTGGGTAAGAAGGGATGGATGCTCATTCTGCTCTAGTGCCTTAAAACTTTGATTTATGTCAGTGCAAAAGTGTTATTTCAAAAATTTAGGTAGTAGGGTATGCTATTTCTACTGCCATTTTAATTTCACCCTTCAATATTCTTTGGGTTTCATTGGCGCTATTCAGGGCCTGTTGGATGCCAGAGACCCTTTAAGGTTTTGGAAGAAACCCTATCCTTGTCAAAAAAATATAGTATTTTTTTTTTTTTTCACATTTTCCAGAATAATCTGTCAATATACAAGGTCATTTAATTGATGTTATCATTACTGTTAAATCTTTAAGTATACCTTGTTAACTTTGAAGAATCCTTCTCAAAAAGCAAAGACATAAAACACAATAAAATACAATCAAGTTTCAACTTCTACATGTATCATCATGTGATTTTACTGTATTTTGGTTGTAGAAATGCTGAAGGACCATTGATCCCAAAAATTTTAGCTGACTGGAAGTATCCATCAACAGTATTTAAATTTTGTCATCTGTTATTTATGTAGATGATGAAATGTGGATACGATATGCAGTTCTTGCTTTAAATATACAAAACAGCTTGATACCCTCAAACAGAGTAGTTATTATAGCTATATGATAAGAGATGTCATAGTATGTTTATGTATGACAAGAGCACACATGCATGGAAACATTGTCACCTATTTTTTTCATTTGAGCAATTGCATGGAGCTCTTTTTTTTTTTTTTTTTTTTAATTAAATTTTCATGTTGATTAAAACAAAACATTGTCAATGTCTCACCTGGATAAATTTTTTTCAACATTGATTGATTTGATATTGGATAGCTTGAATTCATATGTGCATAGTAGATTAACTCTTAGCGTTATGCCTTCCAGTTTTTTTTTTTTTCTTTTTTCTTTTTTCTCTTTGTATTTTTCTTATTGTTGCTACTTTCTTTGTTGCTCCAGGTGGCTCGTGAACCACATGATTAATCTTGGGTTCTCCAAATCATTGTCAGAGTGGATCGGAAGCAACCTCAAGAAATCTGGAGAGCATGAGACATGGGCCTTTAATCTTGAAGGTGCTGTCCAGATGTTTAATTCTTACAGGTAAAAATCTCTAATTTTTTTTTTTTTTTTTCAATATCAGTTTGAACCACTTGCTTTTCACTCCAGACATGCACACTCACCTGATAGAAAAGGGAATGTGATTTGATGAGCATGCAGGAACTTGAAAGATGTCTGGCATCAAAATATTTTAAAAAAATAAATAAAGGAATTGGATTATTTTCATTATGATTTCACTGAAACGTGACTCGTTGAATATGATCTTCTTTAGGGAGACTTCCTATTGGCCTCTGTTGGAGCACCCTCCACTAGGGATGGAGATAGATATTGTACGAGCAGAGAAGAGTGACAGATGGCAGCCAGATACTATTCAGCGGCTTGAAGGCCTTGCAAGTAGAGTAAGAGATGGAACGGAGGGTAAAGTTTCCATGCATGTTCTTCCCAATTCAGGCCATTGGGTTCATGTGGACAATCCGAAAGGACTTCTTGAGATTCTGGCTCCCAATTTAGTCTCTATTTAACCATATTTTAGTTTAACCATCAGCAAATATATAGATAGCATTTTCCCATGTTGATTTAATATCCTATCTTTATTTCATCATAAATTCTTGTTCACCCTGCGTCAGGACTAGGTACTGAATTTGTTGAATGATCTGGTGAGTTGCCTTTTTTTTAACATCAAATATCTGTTCACTTTCTGGGTTGATTTACTATTTGTTTGTTTAGTTTATGGCTTTCTTTAGTCTTAAAATCCTTGAATGGGTAAATATCGTTAGTAAAAAGGGGTCTTCTTCAATATAGTTTCTTAAAATCCAGGTCAGAAGCAGTGGCAGACCTACATCATGAGAAGGGGCACATGCCGCCGCCGCCCCCCCCCCCCCCCCCCCCCCCCCCCCCCCGGGCGGGAAATTTGAAAACTCAAAGATTCCTTTATTTCTTAGAAGAGCTTGAATGGATCTATCCATAACCATAATTCATTTTCACTTTCGTTTCGTTCTATTATTATTTTAAATTTTACTCTACACTTGGATAATTATTGATACATCAAAATTGGGTTTAAATGATAAAAACTTATTTAGAAATATACTGTAACAGGCTAATCAATACATGATTTTAAATTTATTTTGAGCCAAGGTTTTCAATATAGAACTTTGACCTAATTTTCTTAGAAAAATGGAGAAATCATCTCAAACAGGCAATAAAGATAGTGAAATATAATGTATCCACAATTTTTGGCAAGTATTATATTCCAATGGGGTTTTTGTATCTTTATAAGGGTAAGTGATAATCTAAGGAGGGTATTCAATCATTTGAAAATTTCTGGGTGCTGAGGTTGGGTGGTGACAGATTTCATGGTTATTAGGTTAATAATAATTAGAATCCGTTCGATAGGTAGGACAGTTTGGCCGAGTGGTCTAAGGCGCCAGATTTAGGCTCTGGTCCGGAAGGGCGTGGGTTCAAATCCCACAGCTGTCAGACCGGTTTAATATTTTGAATTTTTTTACTGAATTATTAATTAATGAATAATTAAACAAAATAAATTTAATATATTTTTAAATACTTGTCAAAAATTCAAAATACAATTTTTGAATTTGGATAAAACCACTGCTACTCAGATATCCAGGAATTTTTTGACATCCCTAACTGATAGGTAGATCATAACTTTACTGTGTTCTTCTTGTTTAACTTGAAACAACGTCGTGTTTTAATGTCACTGGAGTTCTTGTCCACCCGTAAACGACCAGAAAGCAAAATAGTCCATTTGCCGCGAAAATGGCAGGGCGGATTCAACCTCCTGACTCGGTTTTCGAACTCTCCAACAACACGGTCGCTTCAAACCCTAGCCTACGAAGAGGTCCGATCTTCAAAATACAAACCCTAAACTTCCACAGCTTTCATTCTCCATGGCCTCCTTGGATACCGTCGTAGCTGGCGCTCCTTCTCTCGTGACCTCGCCGCCACTCTCTCCACCACTTCTCCTTCATTTAGTACTGCATTTACACAAATTTAAAGTCGCTATGTTTAATTATTACTCATCTTTTAGGGATTTTCTAGATATCTAACGTCATTTTGTGATATAATTACGCTAGAGTTGTAAAATGATATAATGGTTATGTTAATTATGATATTTGTCCATTAAGTTAATTCTCCTCCATCCGGTACCACATTTACACAAACTTACAGTTACTTTTTAATCATTAATTATTTGTAGGAAGTCTGTTAGTGATGATATGTGAAGAATATGAAAAATGTTAGGAAATTAGAGAAAATTTCTGACAGTTAATGTTGATAATTTTTTAGTTTTAGGAAGTTTCTAGATATATAATATCAAATTTTGTGATGTAATTGTGAAAGACTTGTAACATGATAAATTGTATTATATAACATTGCTCTTATTGTTGATAATTATTTGTTGTTTGTTTGTTTGTGTGAGTAGAGTGGAGAATGGTGCTGGTGGATTTGAGGAACCACGCGTGGTCAGTGGAGATAGAGGGACTGGCTCTGCCGCATGACATGGCTAATGCTGCTAATGATTTGGCTAATTTGGTTAAAGCGAAAGGTTGGGCTTGGCCTGATGTTGTAATTGGCCATTCCCCGGGTAGTAAGGTAGCCTTGCACTTCGCACAGAGTTGTGCTCGTGGTGAATATGGTCAATCCATTGCATTGCCCAAACAGGTTTATATTTTGCCCAAACAAAAGCTTTTTTTGACAATGCTTGTGATTGCTTAACTTCAATTGTATTGTTGAGCATTCTAGTGATACTTAAATAAATCATTGATAGTGGTTAGTGTTAAGATTTATGGAGGAGTTCAAATATGAATATCCGATAATTGCATATATAAGTTTGCAATATAATACAGTTCCTGGCTACTTCCACCGTGGTAGTTGCTGATTAGGTCTCGGTGGTTTAAATTGACAGTTATCTGTTGTCAAATGTCTAACAACTTCTTCCTAGTATAGCTACAGGAGTTTTCAGTTGTGAAAGTTAGATGGACAAGGAACTGACTTTTTGTTTGTTATTGAAACATGAATCTTAGTATCAAGTGTATGTCTTGAAATGCAGTCATTGTGATAAATTGTTCAAAGAGATAAAAAGAGGAATAACATTCTACTTACAAGAGCAATGTAGAGTTTTCAGAAATAGGGTTGGACACAATTTGATTTGGCTTTTTATTGGCTCTTGAAGAAAACCTATATCATGAGAACTGTTACAGTATTTGTAGTTTGTTTTGCATTCAATCGGTCAAATTACTATTTGAATGAAGAAGTGTCACAAATGTGTGATACAACTTGTTGGTACCCCTGGTCAAGACATCTTACTTTGTCATCTTCTTGATCATATTAAAATAAATTGATATTGCACACATGTACTTTGGATATGCTTTTATGCTCTTATATGTTTGGATTTTTCAAAGTTACCTCATATTTGGAAGAGGTTAGTTTTTTCTTCATTTTTAATGGAAAAAATGAATATTTCTTTAGTCCCAACAAGTGGTAGTTGAGGTTCCCAAATGAAAACTCAAATTTCTCATCCCAAGGGATGTATTTGCAAATATTTCATCATTTATTAACTTAATAAAAGTTTCAAGAAAATAATTTGTGTGTGCTAGCTTGATTTAATTGGGGATGTTGTTGACCTCCTTATGAGGTGTTTAGGTTAGTGATACCTAATATTATTATACTTGTGCCGCATTATGCATGTCTATAAAACATATACATGCTTTTGGGGCATGTTTCAATTCTATGTTCATGCAAGAATAGATACAAAACTTGATGTTTGGGTGGGATAAATTTTATCAAAAAATCTTCCTATGCACCAATTGAAAGTTGATGTGTCATATTCATTCTATGTGCAACACATAGAAACATAAACATGGCTGCCCATACCTAATACAGTAATAATTGAGTTTGAGTTAAGTCTTTGTTGCATTTGACTATTACCATCAGACATCACATTCCAAATAGAAATGAAATCTTAGATATGGATGAAGTTTGCACAACTCAGAAAAATATAGAGTGAACTTTGTCATATGGACTTTGATATTCTTTTGTGATTTCTGATGTCAAGAGGGCCATCCATTACCGATAGCATGTTGAAGAACTTAAAGTTTTTTTGTTTGGTGATTTGACCACTATAATTTATTAGTACATGAGAAGAGTTCTGAGCATTTTCATTTTCTTTTCTGATGCAGAACAGCTGTGGGTGTTGGATACTTTTCCTGGCGAATTGAAGGCTGAAAACAATGATGGTGGAGTAGAGATTCTTCTGCAGTTCTTGCAAAGTTTACCTTCACAAGTCCCATCTCAAAAGTAAAGATTTTATCACTTTAGTGACATGTTGTTCTTTGCATAGTGGATTCACTGTGTGTTAGTGAGCCTGTCATTTCCTTGGTAGAGTGATCCAGATGCAGGTTTTAGATGGAGTTGTGATATGGCATAATGTTTACTGACCTCTGGTAATAATGAGTAATCTCTATATATGTTTTTCATTAAATATAGGCACATTAACTACATAATCTTCTTTTTTACAAAGCATTTTCCTTGGGTACGAAGGGATGGATGCTTATTCTGCTTTAGTTCCTTAAAACTTTGATTTATGTCATTGCAAAAGTGTTATTTCAAAATTTAGGCAGTAGGGAATGGATTTCTTCTGCAATTTTAATTTCACCCTTCAATATTTTGTGGGTTTCATTGGCACTACTGAGGGGCCGTTGGAGGCCAGAGACCCTTCAAGGTTTTGGAAGAAACCCTATCCTTGTCAAAAAAAATAGTATTTATTTTCAAATTTTCCAAAATAATCAGTCAATAAACAACATACAGTTAAAACATTAAAGTATACCTTGTTAACTTTGACTTTGAGTAATCCTTCTCAAAAGAAAAACGTAAAAGAAAACAAAATAAAATAAAATGCAATCTAGTTTCAACTTCTAAACTTATCATCATCATTTGATTTTACTATAATTTGGTTGTAGAAATGCTGAATGACCATTAATCCCAAAAAAATTTAGCTGATTGGAAGTATCCATCAATGGTATTTAAATTTTATTATCTGTTATTTATTTACATGATGAAATGTGGATAAAATTATGCAGTTCTTGCTTTAAATTTGCTAAGCATCTTGATACCCTCAAACAGAGTAGTTAAATAACTATATGATAAGAGATGTCATAGTATGTTAATGTATGACAAGAGCACCCTTGCATGGAAACATTGTCACCTGTATTTTTCAGTTGAGCAATTGCGTGGAGCTCTACTTTTTATTTTTTTCTTTTTAAATGTTGGTTAAAAATAAACATGTCAATGTTTCACCTGGATCAGTTTTTCTCAATGTTGATTGATTTGATATTGGATAGCTTAAATTCATATGTGCATGGTAGATTAACTCTTAGCGTTATGCCTTTCCCTTTTTTTTTTGCCCTCTTTGTACTGTTCTTATTGTTGCTACTTTGTTTCTTGCTCCAGGTGGCTTGTGAACCACATGATTGAGCTTTGGATTCCCCAAAACCAGTGTCAGAGTGGATCGGAAGCAACCTCAAGGAACCTGGAGAGCATGAAACATGGGCCTTTAATCTTGAAGGTGCTGCAGATTTTTAATTCTTACCGTTAAAAATCTCTTAAAAGTTTTTCAAACTATCAGTTTGAACCACTTGCTTTTTGCTGCCAGAAAGAAAAGGGAATTTGAAGATGTCTGGGTATCAAAATA